GCACGGATCTTCTCATCATTGCGCAACGAGCTGCCAAAACCACGTACCCCACTGCCAGTCAAAGAAGTAGAGCGGACCCCTCCCGTCAAAGTGGATATAGGCTTGAACCCATTTCTGGGCGCCAGGCGTCACCTGCTCCTCCATCGGTGCAACGACTTTGACACGCTGACTTTAGGAGGCTTGAGATTCTTACACTCCAGGAGCATTCATTCAGCAAGCCATATCATGGCATTGCAAACCTGTGACAGGTGCAAGTATACGTAATATCATCCCATTTAATGGCTGCAGAAGGGGCTCGCGAAGAGGACCAGAGTGTGCGGTCATATCTACAGTAAGTGTTTTGATTGGTGCTCACACTGGCGCTTGCCAGCCATCTTTACTGATTTGCGGGTCACAACCGGTTAGTGTGGATGAATCAATCCAGAATTGCTCATCAACGGTATCAGCAACACATCCACATTGGCTTGACCCTGACCCGGTCAAACGTCTGTTTTCTGGATTCCCTAGATGCCCTGGATCCGAAATGAAGAGTACCAGGACCATCCTGTCTGGGTGTCCTGGCTGGACTACCCTACACTACTTAGGGATCTCCAGCCACACCCAAAAACAGGGTGGTCCAGGCAAATGATGGAGAATGATGGTTCATGGAGGGTCCAAAAACCCGACCTCACCCAACATCGTCGTCTTTCACCAGCCTCACTCTTCTCATTCTCTCTGCGGGAAGGCGCCTGGCTCCATGCGACGGGCGTAGAAAACAAGAAAAAAAACAAAACTTGAACAACTCCTCTAAGCCTCTAAGCAACGCACAGCCAACAGGGGCGGGTACTGCAATCGTTCCTGTCCTTCTGACCCTAACCCTATGCTCTTCATGTCGCTTGGGCTCGATCTCACGAGCGCACCTCGAGCGACGGCTGCGCCACACAGGCGGCCAGAGCTTTGAGTTCCTCTGCGCGCGTGCTGAGCTTCGGCTCCAGGGATCGAGGCGTCACGTAGCTGCGAGCCAGTTGCAGGAAGCCTCCCAGTGGGTCAGACAGCGGGGGTTCGGTCGTGTTGGGTGCATGGAACACATGGGCAGGTCAGTTGACTGACCTGCGACCGGGCCGGCCGCCGACCGGGTGGAGCAACCAGGAGGGACGAAGCTACTTCGTTGATCGGTGGTGGTTCAAAAAGGATCAAAAAGGTGTTTCAGTCCCAGACACTCCATGTATGGCATATATGCCTACATTGGGGTAGTTTTGGGGGTCAATGTAGGCATATATGGCATACATGGAGTATCTGGGAGTGGTTTCTTAGCATTGGTCGCACTCCGAGACGTCCAGTTGGGCCTCTCAGTCAGCAAGCGGTCTGCCGTGCATGAAGCACGAACTGCCGGGTCACTCGGTGTCACTGGGTCCGGAGGCATCAACGACCATCTCCCCAAGCACTGTGACATACTTTTCACGCCCTGAAAATGCAGTGAACAGGCTCCATCTGGGTGTGTATCTTCTTTTAAGGGAGACCTCCAACCCATCACTGACTGGTCTGCGAAATCCCTCTTCCGGGGGATGAATTTTGGGAGGTCTCCCTATTTGAGCTAAGCTCACCCATCTTGCTCACATCTCCAAGAAGCTGGTGGCATCTCCCTTCAGCAGCAACTTCAAGGCCTAGCCAGCTCAACGTGTTCGACTGGAACCGGTTCATGAACCGACGAACCGACAAGTGGACCGCTGCCTATTCCCTAAGCTTCCCTGGTTGTACTAAAGAAAATTGATATTACAACATCAGGTCAGCCATTGTTTAACAAACGGTCTAGGAAGCCTTGTGTCTTTCGATAAGTGCACTACTATGCACTACTGAACTGAAGCAAAGTCCTCATGCAAACCATCGGACCCAAACATCGTCTCATCGCATGGTGCGCAACGCATGGTATCGCTTCGGCACTTGGTGGCCGGCATCTGTCAACAAGGACGATGCACACAAGGGCGATGCTCTGTGGCAGGCCCAAAAGCTGTCGCATCACTTTGGCTGAACAAGAGCTACCATGGAAGTTCATGGAACTATATGGAACTTCTGATTGCAAATATCCTCCCATAGTAATGCCAATGCAAGGAAAAGCAAGGAAGTAAAACCCATGCTATGGTGTTCGGGGCGTTCCCCGCGGTCTCAAGTTTTGTCCAACATCACCATGCCTGCAAATGACTTTCTTTTAGGTCCTCGGCGAGGTCATGCGAGGCGTCGGGGGTGGATGAGCGGTCGCTGGGGAAGGTGTTGAATCAAAAGGAAAGTAATGGCAGCCGGCCAAACAATCCCAACAAATCGACCACTCGGACTCCAGGTCTCCATTGTTGCTACGAAATTCGAATAAATTTGACCTATCTTCCATGAGCTTCCCCAGAAATCCCGGAAGATTGTGGAGTGATGATGATGATGATCTCCAGGAGTGATGGATGATCCTGAGATCATACGCCATCGAAGATTAAAGTGGAAACTGAAAGCCACTGGTTTGTAGACGAAAATGGTCTTCCCATGATTCCATGTGAACGTTGCCGGGTGTAGTCCAAGTCTCTGAGTCTCCAGGAGTGATGATCTCCAGTGCCAGCTGCTGAGTGGACACCGAAGGTCCCAGCAGCACATCGGTGATCAGATCATCCGATGTCGGTGTCCCGGCGTCCGGCTTCGGGAAGACTTGATAACGGAGCAGGAGTCGATCTTCTCCGGTCTTCCAGCCGCAAAGCCAGCGAAATGGAAAGGAGATGAGGTCGAAAAGGAAGAACAGGATCACCGCATGGAGGAACATCCAGCATTGAGACCTGCAAGGTGAGCTCCCAAGGGAAGCGAGAAAGGCAGTCTCCCAAAGGAAGCGAGAAAGGCAGTCTCCCAAATGAAGAAAATTGACATGGCGACGTCCACGGAGACATCTCACATTTGGATTGGTTGGGATTTGGGGGTGTTGTCATGCCATACCATGGGTGCGGATGGGTGGGCCTCGACTGAAACATCTCAGTGATCCTTCGTCACACTTTGTCTGACAGGGTCAAGCCTTTTGCTTCAGTTGCCATAGCTCGCACTTGAATTTCTCAGTTTTCAATCGTTTCCAGAATTTCTGCCTTCTCTTCTTTTCCATCCCATTTTTATTCTGATTTCTTAAGGAGTCTGTGTGACGAGATCTGCTCACCACACCTGACCTTCACCAAACCCCCCGAGGAAAAAACAACAATCTCCGCCTTCCAGGACTCCGCCCCCTAAGAACTTTCTCCAAGGCGCGCGTGGCGGTGCAGCTGCCCAAGGAGCAGGAAGACAGGTGTTCTTCTGGATTCATTGACCTGGCGTCACTCCCCATGAGCCGACCACGGCGGTACAGTACCGGGCCTTCTTTTTGGATGACTTCGGTGATCGAGTTGAGTCAGAAGTGGCCCATTCCATGGGGAAACGCATCCCTCAACCGAAGATAAACTAGCAAAGTGGTTTGGGAATTCTCGGGAAAAACGCTCCGAGTTCCCGCTTTTTACAGGGACCTATTGGAACCCCTTGGGGCTCCGAATTGCTCACCAGCTGCCACCTCCGGGCGCCAAAAGAAAGACCTGGGGCCTTTGGCACCGAAATCTGAGCGAATGGTTTGGACATGGCGGCTGCCAGAGTGAGATTTCCGGGTTTGTCCGGAAAAGGCAAGTGACATTTATAGTCATTTACATTTATCAATTTATCACATCAACGCCAATTCACGGCTCAACTGTGGTTCCATGGGCTTTCCCTCCACCCTGGGTTCACGGCAGGGCACAATACGCAGCAAAGCCAAATCGCTCACTTGGAGAGGGCCAATGTCAGCGACTGCCATTTCTGGCGCCGCTTGCACTTGCGCCATCCTCAGCATTCGGCAATTGATTGCCCCAGCGATTGCGATTTCTGAGAGACATTTAATTTTTGGGGTGAGGTCCCAAAAGAAGAATGAGATCGAGATAGATTAAATAGATCGAGTGATCCCAAGGGATGCTTAAACCGAATCCTTTGAAGATCCGGAGGCCCGGAGGCCCTCCTTCGCTGCGCCGGCCGGCGGAGCGAGTCGCGGCATGTCATCCAAACAGTCTACTGCCTCTTTGGTGACTCACCGAGGAGCAATCCGAAAATGCCTAGAACAGGAATCAAATGCACACTTTTTGGAGATGAGATGAGTTAGTCAGTGCTAATATATATATATATATAAATAGAGTATAATATATAGTTATAATATATCATTATATATATATATATATATGTATGTGATTAACATTAATGAAGTATAGTCTCCCACAGTTGTGTGAAGTTGGTTGCATGTTTAGGAGTTTAGGCGTGCCTTTGGTGAATTCTCATCTTGTCACTGCTCCAGGTCCCCAGTCTCAAGCACTTCAGCCTCCACCGTCGCCCAAACCCCTGACCGGACCGAGGGACGAGTCCACCCTCCGATCTGCAGCCGAGATGGCCAACGGCGGGTCCAGAACAGCCAACGAAACACCGTTTCGAAGCGCGTTTCCCCGCTTCCCCGAACAGGAGGAATTTCGGATGAAACATGGATGAACCGGAGGCCATGTTTTTTTTCCTAGGATGCATCTTTCCAGGACCAACTGAGTTACTCAGTTCTGAGTTCTTGAGCGACGATGTCCGAATGTCTATGGAGTCCTTGCTATGAAACACCTCCAGATGAATGGGAGTTGGTCATAGTTGGTCCATGTTTCAATCAAACATCCCAATCCGGTTGCTGATCCATCCAACCAATCAACGCCCCTTAATGTCCTTTTTGGACTTGAGGCATCTGAGGGAGACCAGGTGTAGAAGCCCCACTCTGCCGAAGCCCACGATCAAGCACCCCCCCAAAGCGATGCCCCTGAAGTGGAAATCCATGGAAGTGGTCGTCCAATTCCAAGATTTTATTGCAGGGTACACTCCGACTCACTAACATGGGAAAACCCCCTGTTCGTAAGGAAAGTAGTCTTCCAAGGGATCGATCACCCCTCGGCTCCACCGTCCATCGGCTCCACCACCGGCTCCTCCTCACTCAGCCGCAGCCCGAAAGGAGCATTGGACTCCTGCCAACGCTTTTGAAGGCATGGATGGGAAGCGGAAAAACCACCTGTTTAGAGAGGAAAACCGGTCATGCCAGGACCATGTTCCACTTGATTCTTTCTTACAGAGTGTAGTTTCAAGTTTCAAGGCTTTCGGGTTGAGTAAGTAAGTCCAAACACAGCACCCAACACATCTGAAACCTGACACAGAAAAAAAAACACCTCGAGGAGCCTAGGGGCCTGCTGGTGTGGAAAAACATCTGAAACAGCACCGGGACATGTATGGACATCTAGGGGCCCTGGGCAGGGGGGAACATCATCTGCACACAAAGGCTGTTGGGGCCCCGGGATGTGTTATCCTGCAACGTCGAAAGAGAAATGAACACAGGGGTGACGGCATGGGAAGGGGTAGGGTGCGGGTGGTTGTTTGATAACTTTAAATTTGCTGTGCCTGCTTGTCCTTGGCCTATGTGCTCAGTGCTGCTAGCCTGGTTCTTTCCACTTTCCCACTCCGCCTGCACCAATGAAGTGTTAGCCTCTGCGTCTACCAATGGTCCGAAAATTTGTGTACCAACAAACCAAAGGACTCTTGGCGCGCTTCTACCACAGGCTGTTTAAGTTTTTCGAGGCTGCGAGTTACACTACCAAATCAGGCCAGACAATGACATGTGAGTGAACCAAGGCTGGGCAACAGGGGTTTTTACTGCTGTTTTTCCTGCCGTTTGCCAGCGCCCGCCAAATATGCCGCCCCGGCTCCAGTCGCTGCAGTGACTTGCTCTTGGGGATGCAAACGTAGCCTGGGTGACTTTCTGACGCTCAAAGGATGATGAACGCAAGTTGTCGAAAGGTGGGTCAAAACAGTTCAAGAAACACCTAAACACCTTCAACATGGACGAAGATTCTTCAACGACGATGGAATTTTAAGGGTAGTCCCACAGCGTTCGACCAAAAGCTCATTTCATTTCCATCCATTTCCACTTCAACACCATTTTGGTGTCGAACCTTGAAGGCGAATGTGATGTGGATGACGTAAAAAGCTCAAACACATCTCCCCGTGAATGATGTTTGGGATTCCTTGCGCGTTCCAAAGGGTGGCAAGCACCCTACTCTATTAGGGTACCCAACAGTGTTATTTTGACCCCAACAGGTGGTTTCTGGGCACCTGTTGTCACCAACATCTGTTGGCCAAGCCGTGTCCAGGTCCAAAAGCAGCCGCGTTTAGCGGCCTTCGCCGTTCGCTCACAAACATTGAACTGCCCACGAGAGAAATCCCCTTCTTCTTGGTGCAACTCAAGGTTAAGCATAAGTTCATACAGAAGATTGCACTCTGCTGCACCCTGTGTAGCAGCCTGTGCCATGGCACCCTGCTGCAGGCACCACCGAATCGCCACCTCTGCTGCGGTCCGCTGCTTCAGCTCCGCCAGCTCAATGAGCGCCGGTGCCAGCGGTGCTGCACGCGAGCCGCGCTCACTGCGCGCCAGCTGCCCGCGTGCCAGGGGTGTCGCGGCCATGAGGGCAATGTGGTGCTGGCGGCAGAAGTGGGATAGATCACGCCTCAGGCTTGGTGGGAGACTCTTTGGAAAAATGAGACAGGGAAAGATAGGGAAAGTGGTGACTCTGGAAAGTGGTGAAGTGGTGAAGGGGGCCAAAAGGAACCATCCAAACTATATCATTATCAAACGATCTATGAAAGACCAGAATCTCAGCCTTTTCAGATCATTTCACGTTGGCATCCAGATCAGAGGGCGGGGGGTTTGACCAACTCTTGGGATCTTGGGACTTGCCGTTGGCCCGGCTTGGTACACGTGGCTGACCAGTCTGATCCTGTTCGAAGAGATCCGGGAGAAAAGAACACACCCCCTCTGAATCAGTTCTTCTGATGCTGGACCTACAGGAGCTGCTGGGAAACGAGGCCCCAAGCCCCGAAGCACTGCGCCGAACACGGTGCACCGCCGAGGCTCTGCTGATTGGCCAAGTGCAGCTTCACTTGGAGGACCTCTTCGGTTCGGAGCAGCATGACATGTCGAGGTGTCAGTTGGTCTCCAACAACTGAAGGTGAGGACATGCACCGGATCTACGCCTCCTAGAGCTCCTAGAGCTCCGGCGATGTGTTTTCCTTTCGAGCGCGACTTCCGTGCTCCGTGCTCCACGTGGCTCCACCGTCGGTCGGTCCGGTCGCACGGGGTGGACTTGAGACATCTGGACCGAACACAGGGCATGAAACAACTGCCGGATGACCCATCGGTCATGAGTCATAGGGGTCTGATATGATGATGTAGTGGAACATCTGGAAGCACAGAAACAAATGATTGTTCCAACATGTTCCAACATGGCTTGCTTGAGATCCTTACATGACAAGCGGTTGGGACCAGGGAAACATCCATTCCCAAACCATTCATGCATGGAATAGTATGAAATATACCTTAATGTCACTCACATTGATTCGACTTGGGAGTCCTTCCCGGCCTCGCCTCGGGCATCTCGCGGCCAGTTCGCGCCAGGGCCGCCAGGTGTTCCGTGCTGAAGTTGCACACGCCCACGGCTTTCGCCAAGCCCCTCACGTGGACGCATGGTTCATCAACCCCCCCCAATTTCCAGGTAGCGAAACCTATCTAATTATATGAGGGGGCGTGATTCATCAGGTGGAAGAGGGGCCAGGTGACAGCGACAGGAGCGGGTTCCAATCCGTCTTCCACGTCTGTCCGCCGCCCGGGTAACCCGTCTGTCCGCTCCTGGTGCGCAGCTGGAGCATGGCGTCCCAAGTCCAAAGCACGCTGCCGCCCCTGGGGCTCTGGATCAAGTACAAATCCTTGGGCGATGAACTGAGGATGGTCTGCCGGGCGACCAAACAGCCCCTGTACAGCTCTAGGAGGCCCTGTCAAAGCCGCGGTGGGCGAGGTCAAGAGCTGACAACCTGGCATCAATTGCCCTCGGAACCACTTTTGAACATGACATTGACCGAACTCCTCAATCGTCAATCATTTTTGGTTCCAACCTCTGGAAGGCCATCTCTTTTTCCGGGGTGGACATCGGGAGATGCACAAAAACGAGTCTCAAGAAGACCTGATCGCTTTGAAAAACCTAAAGCTGGGCATGAAGCTCTTGGGAGCACACCTACAGTCTATATACTACTTCTAGTTCCACTAGCTTGGAGATGCATCAGCATACGAAAGCCTTCTCCAACTTCCATGCAACTCCCTGGTCACCCATTGGTCACTTGCTGCGATGCGAAACAAACCATGTCGTGCTGCCCGAGAGTCCACGAAGGAGGTTCCAAGGCGCTGCAACGAGGCATGCAAAACCTCTTCCAATTCATCGCCATGCCTTGGTCCCAAAAGACCCGGGGACGTGTCCAGTGTGTGACGCGAGGTCCAAACGACGCGACTTCATTAAGCGGTGAGATCTTGTCTTCAAGAGGGAAGTGACGGTTTGTACCACACACGTCCAGCATGGTATCCATGGGTATCCCCCTCTTTACTGATCAACCAAAAGGAGCACTCGGAGTTGTCATTCGTTGTGTCTCCGTCTGCTTTCTTCAAGTTAGGACCATTTTCCTCCCCAATCGAGACCCAGTCCCGTCCTTTGTGCTCCTTTGGGCCGTGATGCTCGCTGGGCGGAAGCTTGGTGGTCAGAAAGACCTCCGGAACCCGGTCGACCCGGTCGACCCGGTCGGGTGTCCGGGCGTGTGGGCTCCCCGAACTTTGAGAGCTTTCGCCACAATGTCCGAAATCTCAACCCACAGGCTGACGCACCCTGAAGTTTAAAACTGAACCCTGTGCGCCAGTGGGAGGTCCAAGAATAAAGCCTTCCTCCAAAGGACCCTGTCGGGCAGCCCCTGGCTCCCAAACAAGGAAGATCATCAATTCGCAGGACCAACAGGCTTGCCTGCAGAATCTGTCTTGCATGTTTCGCCTTGGGGGCTCACCAACGCGAACGCATGTCCTGAGCACTCCGCATCTTCTCTCTTCAATCCAGCTGCTCGGATTCCATTGGCAATCTCCTGGTGAAGCGAGCGGAGCGGTCGCCAGCGGTCACAGCGAGTCCCTGAAAGCACCGGAACGGGCTGGGCCTGTAGCTGGGCGCTGGCTGGGGCATGGTCTTGGCAGGCCGCTCGAGCCATCCCTGCAAAAGACCCCTAACAGTGTGTCTAGCGAGAGGTGTGAAGTGAAGCAGAAGGTCTAACTGCAGAGCTCTAGAGGTGGAGAGGGATAGATCTAGGGCTGGAGGTCTAGAGAGCACACATATGAGAGCACATTTGCTGCGCTCCCACGAACTCTGCACTTCACGGTTCACAAAGGTTCAAATCTGCACTTGTAAAATGTATGTTGTCCACGACATTTTTTTCTCCTAGGGGTCTTTGAACGCAATACATATACTGCAGTATGGTGTACGCTCCATGTCAATTTCGCTCTATGCATTCTACCAATTTTGACTTGCTCCTTTTGAATGATCACTTGAGGCGACCTGCTTTGGAGATCCCTGGAAGAGCGATTGCCATTAACAAGCAAGTTCTACCCTGTCAGAATTCCTCCAAGAACCTGCAAAAACGGTGGCCTTATCGATGGCAAAAGCTGTTGTCTTACCCATTGCCAGTCCAGTATTCAGAAATTGCATCCAAAACACCTCTCAGCTCGTTCCTGGATTTGTTTTGCAGAACCTTTCCCTTTAGATTCCCAATTCGGGCGAGGCATGAATGTATGGATTTCAGCCAGCAGAACCTGCAAACCCACATGGTACCAATGTATTCACGTCAACTGCAACTGATCTACGCGGCCATAAGCAGCTGCATGACAGCTCGATCATGGCTATTTGATCAATGTCTGTTCACTTAGCTCCAACCCTCCCATGGAAGTAAACGCCTTTTCGCTTGCACAGGAACTTTTCAGATTTCAATCGTTGGTCAAACTTGCAGGTGAACACCGCTGTTTCACCATGTTTCACCTAATTCTCCGAGCTCCAGAAGCCACCAGGAATGCGATGCCCCACCGGACCTCCTCATTTTCGAAGCCCGGGGCGGTGTCGATGAGCCGATACCCGCACCGAAGGGCCGCGCGGACCGCCTGGACACCGTGTGTGACGCGTGTGACGCGTCTGGCCCGAGGGCTTCCGTGGGTCCGCAACAAATGCAAACATCACGTATCTTTTGCGTCATTCTGTCATAGTTGGGAGGATTCACTCCAAATCACACCTTTCTTATATACCCTTTTCTTAGACAAAAGTCCCAGGACTCAAATTTCATCAAATCACCCAAATCCATCCCACCACTTCAAAGCTTCACTATGCTTCACTGCCAGTGCCTAGATTAAAGACTTGTGGTCCAAGAGTCATGGTGTGCGAAAAACCGTGCTCGATCTCCCGCAACGCTTCGCAAACGACATACCCCTTGAGCTACGGGGGTGGGTATCGGAGGGTATATCATGGAGTGGGTGGAGGATGGAGGAACCTCCTGAGGTCCTGCCATTCTCTGAGAGAAGACTTTGGAATCCTGCACTGGCCGTTGTTTGGGTCGCGCCATGGAGGGGCGACCAAAGTCGGTTTCCACCTGTTTGGACTGCCACGTCCTGTTGAACCGTGTCTCACCGATGTTCCAAGAAACACATCTATGAGTCATAAATGAGCGTCTGCCACTTCGCCACATCGGTCGTGCTTCCACCAATCGCCACATCCGCCTCCCGACACTCAGGACCTTTCAGTTGGCGCGTGCCAAGGCCCAACATGGGCATCCTGCCGAGGTAGGCGAGTGCCAAGGCCGCAGGACAAAACATGACACGACCCACGTTATTTTTCTTATGCATGATTTACCACTTAAGTCTATATATATACAAATGCAAAACACCCCCACACGGTGCCCTAGCAGCTCTAGGCCTCAAACCGGATCGAAGTTCCACGCAGCTCTCGAAGTTCAAGGCCCTGGACGCGAAGTCAAATCCACTGAACTGCTGGGACTTTGTGTCCCGAGATCTTGGGCACCTCTTTGGGGCTCCAACATGAAGGGAGCCCAACATGCGCCTTGGAACACACGGATCCCGGACATGCAACCATCCAATATGAGCATCCTTGATCATTCTGAGCAAATAAGTGATTCGAACATACCGTGAAATATAGATGTTAGATCACTTTCACTTATGAACTGCTGTCTTCGGCGACGTTTCATTCCTACCCCGGCCAAATGCTAACATTCTTCCCACCAAAACACCCCGAAACATTGTACATCATTGTGCAACTATACCTGTACCACATGCTGCTTTGGACTGCGCAGCAAGACCCGCGCTGCCTGACCGCTGCATCTCCAGCCGGCGCGGCGCGACACCAGCGGCCACCTGCACACACAGGTCAGTGATGCCAATGTTGGCCCCGGAACGACCTGAACAACCAGGACTTGCAACATGCACAGTGACCCCTCCCGCATACTTTCTTCAAGTGATCCTGCCCTAAGAGGCGAACTTTGAGCCACGTCGTGACGGCAAGGAACCGTCTGTGCATCGGCTGACAGTGCCATGGGGATGTGACGTGGTACGTGCAGATCCGAATCGCAACTGACACGCAAACTCCCAAGTTTGAGTGTACCCTGAATATAGCTTGGCTTTTTGCCCAAAAAACATGCCCAAACAGACTTGAATAGAGCTTGGCATTCATTCAACAGCCTCTGAAAAGCAAAGTCTCACTTTCAACCTACCCATGCGGAGGAATATTCCCTGTAAGGACCAGAAAAAAAACTCACTCATTCCAACGGCACGATCGACCCGGTCCCCGCTGGGTCGTCTCGACCTCCACGAGTGAGGGTTAGGCATGAACCAAAGTGCCTTCAGTGACATTTACGGAATAAACATCATGTATTTATGGACTACGAAGCCGCGGTTTCTTAAGGCCTCAAGAAGTCCTGAGGGCGACGTTTTCGTAGCGATCAAGTCCTGACGTCCCCGTCTGATTTTGATGTTTGGAAGTGACATATGATGTATACAGTATACTGTATGCATACATATACAGTACACACCAACGTGGCACAACGTGGCATTCTCCGGGCTCGTTGGTTTCAGAGTGCATGATGCTTTCCTGTTCTACTGTTAAAACTGCAAAACTCATAGCCTCTCAAAAGACGTTCAACAAATTAGATGCAAATGCACGTCTTCATCATGTCCAGAAGGAACTCACAGAGATGTTGACGAAGGAACTTTGGCTCAACAGGGGTCCATGATCTCTTCTCCAAAGTGGGTCTGGGTCAAAAAGCTGTGACCCAACAAACCCATGGCAACTGTGAGCAGTGATTGGGAGAGCTGCAGCTTGCTCAAATCTGGTTGGTGCTTCAAGTCAATCCAAATCTTCGCCAATGACCATCAATTGAGATCACCAGTCCAATGGAGTGTGATGGCCAAAAAAGTCCCCCCAAAAACATATACACCATCATACTCATCAGCCAGGCTTACAATCTGTACATCTGGTTGAATCAGCCCCTTCACCACTTGGTCAAACCATCACAGGCCTATGGCCTTCCATGGACGGTTTTTTCACGCCCCGCCCTTGACTCACCGGACACGGCCGAAATTCGATGCCACGGCCTTAGACCGCATAGACCAATGTTGTTCCATGTCGATTCTTCTTCTCAAATGAACCGTGCAAACCAAAAACGATATGATTAAACTCACCCCATACATGTCGTATAACTTCTTACGACGCTCCTGCTTACCATTGGGACCATTGATGTGTTTCCCGGTTTTGCCACAAAGCACACGTCCGTATGTTGGTTCGACTTCATGTGCTTGCTCGACATGCACGGCCTAAAAATGGTTTGGTTTTGCGGATGGCATGGCACACTCTCCGAGTCACTCGCTTTCTCGTAGCGGAGGCCTCCTTCGAGGCTGGAAGATGGAATCGGTGTAGCAGGACCTCCTGCGAAGTCACTCACGGCCGGGTACAGTGAGAGAACCAGGTCAGGAGTGGCATCAGCAATTCCCAGCTACTCCATGGGACTGGTATATATGCCTTTTAGCTGCGTATACATGGATTCCCCCGAACCACCCCTGGCCTGGTTGGCAAATATGGCATGCTTACATGGAGTGTCTGGGATTGACATTGAGTTAAGCACGTATCAAAACCGTTTGTATCTGTTTGGGGGTCACTATTGTTAGGATTTCAGCCAAGGGTTTGCGGCATTGTGGGCCTTTCAATCAAATATAGCCCTAAAAAGTTTGGAGGGCAAAACATTGCAAAAGTGTGTTTCGCACCCTGCCCCAGCGATCTGTATGCATCAATGGGTACCAAAAAAAATCATGAAATCAAGCCAACGGCTCCTGAGGAACAGTTTGTTGAAAACAAATGCCCTCCACCTGTGGAGGCATGAACGCAGCTCAGACCCACAGCCACAAGTTTTTGCCAGTGACCCACAGCCACTTGAACCATGAAAATGTGTGCCTCAGAAAGAGGGGGAGCCAGGGCACACATAAGCCAAAAACAAATGGTAATCATCAACAACCAAGCGCTGCATATCACACATCCTGATAAACAGAACAAACAACATTTGCTAGTCATAAGATTCATTACTTAGATATAGTTGATATAGTATGATATAGTATGTTTCTCCGTACGTATGGGCTTGCCTCCGAACAAAAAAGGCGCCAGAAAGGATTTCCCAAGAATTGTAATTAGTGGGTTTTTGCCCGCTGACTTCCCTTCCAAAAACATGGTCGGTCCCACCGAAAAGGGGGGAACCCAGTCGTCCGCCACGCCGCACGGCGCTCAGTCGTCCTCCCAACGCCTGGCGCAATTCAGACGAGTTTGCTTCCTACGGAACGAAAAGCAGAATATGAAGATCCGAAGAGTTGAAACCTGGGGGGCCTGAGAACGTCTACCATGCTGGGTTTTGACTTTGCAGTTTCAAGTGGATTTCAGGATATGTCCTGCCATGCGAAACCGCGAACGCATCCAGGCGATGCACAGAACGACGCCGTCGGCCACCATGGTTGATTGGTATGGCCGAAAGACATCAATGTCGACCAGCCCAGTCGCCTTCCCAAGATTCCACTGTGGGAGCCGAAATCAAACGCCCCGACTTCCTCAGTATCCCTTGCAAGCAAGTGAACCTTTTTATACAATTTTGACATCCTTTTTCCATCTGTTCATGTTGAGTTTGGAAACCAATCCCCCAAAGTACGGTCAAAGTTTTATTCGGAAACTAAAAGGTGATCTTCGGAAACTTTACGGTTTTCTTCGGAAACTTTACGGTGTTCTTCGGAAACTGTTGCATGGAAACTAATCTTCGGCAACTCAAAAATGATCTCGGAAACTTAAAGGTTTTCTTCGGAAACTATTCTTCGGAAACTAATCTTCGGAAACTTTACGGTGTTCTTCAGGAACTAATGTTCGGAAACTACAGATCGCAACACAAGCATGTATATACCGTAGCCGTCACAAGGTACGTCAATATCCCACCCACCCACCCCCCCCCCCCCCCCCGCCCCCACCCAGCGCTCCTTCATGCAAAGTGGTTGCAACATTGTAAAAGTTCTGAGGAATACTTTCTAAAGTTAGCTTTCTGAAGATCGCGGAATAGTCTCTGAAGATCGCGGAATAGTTTCTGAAAATCGCAAAATAGTTTCTGAAGATCGCAAAATTTCTGAAGATCGCGAAATAGTTTCTGAAGATCGCGAAATAGTTTCTGAAGAAGCGAAATAGTTTCTGAAGATCGCAAAATATTTTCTGAAGATCCCAAAATAGTTTCTGAAGAATAGTTTCTGAAGAGTAGTTGCGGAAGAGTACCAAATAGTTGCGGAAGAAAAGTTTCAGAAGAATGGAGAGTTGCGGAATAGGACTTTGTTCCCCAAAGTACGGTTTGGCAGGTGATCCACTGAACTGGGTAGGAAGCACTGTAGGAAGCGTCCCTTCGAAAACCCGAAGAAACACCAACACCACCTGTGACTTGTTGCGCGCCTCGGCGAAGGGTTCGGATGGTTCGGCTGGAGCTTTGCGCCATCGGCTCATTGCATGGTTCAGTGATGCTCGGATGCTGCCGGGCACGAATCAACTCGTTTTCACAGCCTAGCCCATGTTTTTCCATGTTTCTTGGGTCCCAGATGGAAACGGCCCAAACGCCCGGGTTTTTCGCATCGTAGACCGACCGTTGAGCTCAGCCAGGTCGCCGCGGACTTGATCCGAAGATCGTTCGCACGGAGGACCAGGATTAAAACAACGGGTTGCAAGCTAGGCATATATAGGAAACAGCTCTAGGTAGATCATGGGGGGGCTACCAAGAATATAATAATATATTATATATTAACAAAACAATTAGATGGGTGAGATGTGGATGAGTCGCTACAAGCAGCTGACACTTAGGATGCAGGGGTGGTTCCAAATCAACACTGAGGATGTCAGAGACGTGCTCCTTCGCCATGACACGTGCTCTTTGCACTTCCCATCACTTCACGCTGCTCCCAATCCGCCCCCCATGCCCCCGACTTCGTGCCGAAGGACGGTGACAGAACGAAGGTCGAGTGGAACGAAGGACGGTGACAGAATACCTTCGACGTTCCCTTCTCTTCGGCCAACGGACCGTTCTCAACGACTTTGTCTAAAACCCGAGCGGGGTGAGCGGCGCGAGCCCCTCTGTCGTCCGAGGGAACTCCCAACGACTGCTCCGAAAACAATCCATTGTTTGGCCAAATGGAAGATGCCCTCGGGATCCAAGTACCTCCTCAAAAGGTCCTTGGCCCCTTCAAACCCACCCCAGTCCCACCTTCTCAGAGGGTACGACCGGATCGATAGGGATGAAAAGTGCAAAAACCGAAAACAAACACCCCAACACCCGAGCCCGGTTCGCGAGCCCCTCGATCCGTCGCTCTGTTCTCGGGAGTTGCCCTGAGCCGTCAGCCCTGAGCCCAATTCAAGCCGGGCCTTCGGAGTTTGGGAACCCGAAAAAGACGTGACGCATGTGATCACCAAGTGGAGGGTGAGCCTTCCCCGCTGCAGCAATCAACAAAAAGAAGACCTGTTCGAAAAGGCTACCCTGGTCATCACTCGATATATGTTGTTGCCTTCAGCCCCCCGAAGCAGTCTTGTTCTTTTCCTCGCCTGTCAATGGCCCCCACAGGGCTCTCACTCTCACTCTCTGCGAGCTGTGGAGGAACGTGTTGAGTGGTCAAGCCTCCCTCTGGTGTTCGACAGCTGTCGCTGTGTCGCTGTGTTGGGAGACGCCTATTGGAAATGGTGCAGTTGAGTCGTGGTGTGCTCTGCAATCAACATGCCACAGAATAGCAAGTGACTTGGTAGGATGTTCACAATTAATCAGGCCTGGTAGGTCCTCCTTTAATCTGGAACACGTTGCTGGTTCGCCTTTTGCTCCCCTGTTTCTACTCCACCCAAAGTTCTTCAAAAGCAGAACTAAAATTAAAGCAAGCAAGTTCAATTGGTTTGTGCGCTGACGGGCCACGGCCCCCGGCGGTCTCTGCTTGGCTGAGAATCCAAGAGAAAACATCTTGAAGTCATTGGTGAACCCTGGTGACATTTGTTCCCCCAAGCTGCGCTCGTTGAGAGCGCCCACATGCCCGGACTATTCTTCTGTTGCTGCATGGCATGGTATGGTTCTGGAGCCTGGGCAATGATGCCACGCGGCGTTCTACGTGAAAACAGCTGGAAGCCGAAGCAATGATTCAAGGGGTTCATTGAATGACTATTTATTTAACACTATATATATATATCAATATATGCCGCTAGATTTCCTGGACCACTGCAACTTCGCATTTTGTGCTGGTTGATTTGGAGATAAATCCGATCCTGTAAGTCTACTGTATCCGCTTTCAATTCACCAACAAACACGTAAAGTAGCGCTCGCTCAACTCTGGCTAGTGCATCTCATCGCCAAAAGAATGCACCAGGCACAAATCTATTGCAAAAGGAATCACCGACAAGTACCTGGTTGCCTAGCTTGAGAGTCTCCCCATCTGATCTTATAAAGCACATTTTCAATCACCATTCACCCTCATCTTTGAGGCCTCCATCGGCGCTTCGACTTCGAAAAGGGGGCCCAGCCGGCCCAGCGGTAGAGTGGGTCTCACTCGCCGGACCGACAAACGTCCTCCTTTTCGCCTTTGTACAAAGAGAGCATCTCAGAACGCTAGTAGGGCCTCCGCGTCTGCGCGGAGGCCAGCCGAGGCGCACTCGCCACCGAAGCATGGTTCTAGTTGGCTGCCTGGGGTGATTGGTGACTTCAGCGCCTCCAACAGCTTTCTTGACCTGACCCTCAGTTTCCCTGGAACAAAGAAGGGAACCTTTTTCCATCTGAGAATCTGTCTATATTGAGTGATTTGAGGTGGCGTGTTCCCAATCTCCCCCTCAAACGGGTGATCCGTTGTGGTCCATCTGGGTAGGGTGCGCCATCTCGCTGTTGACGTTTGTTGCTTGCGGCCCATCCAGGTGCGCAAAGGGTCACCTACTCAGTCGCAACGTCCCAGCCAAAACGCACATGTGAATTTAGACGATGGATTATAGTTCAACCCTCCCAAGCCTCAAGCGGTTCCACATGGTTTTACAATCCATGCCCGCGAGGTTTTTTTTTTGGGGGGGGGGTTATAAATCAAGAGTCTACCTGAACCATCCAGCGGATGTGGAGATCCAATATCAGAAATTGTGGGCTGGGTAGTCCATTGCATTGGGCACCCCCTTTGGATAGTCCTGGTACACTCGGATCGCACCCACCCGACCGCGACCCGAGCACGGCGAGCAACCGCTGAGGTCGGGTCGAAGCGCGCGAAGCGGCAGCTTGGGCCGCAGAAGCATATGCCGCATAATAGCCACCGGGATAATAACCACTGGGATAATAGCCACAGGCATAATAGCTATTGGGATAATATTGGCCATTGGCATAGTTTGCATAAGCAGTGCTGGCCGCATAGTAGCCATTGGGCCTCAGCGCTGTTGCAACCCGCAGGGTGCGATTTGATAAAAAGGATCAGTTAGCGGTGCAGGTGAAATCCTGGTAGTGACCTCAACATGGATAGAAAATAATGAAAAATACACCCCCCTCTAAATCCTTTGTGGCTTGCCGACTCTTCGCCAGGTTGAAGGCCCCCCCAGTTTCGCGACATTTCGCGACTATGTGGCACATGTGCAGCAAAGAATCCATATGTATGAGTCGCTAACATCAGAAAACATGCTTCAATCCTGGTGGGTCATCTAAACCATCCCCCACCACAGCCCAAACATCACAGGCATTTGATCATCATGAACCGATTTCCCTGGCACAGCGCACAGGAAAATGAACCATCCTGACTCTTGCGGCATCATCCGCTGGCGGAACACCACGTCATCCTGGACTCTGCTCCCTCAAAAGTCTCGACGGGAGGGCCTCCATTTTGCCAAGGCACATGGACTGATAGGGCTGGTATGGCGGATACATTTGTTGCATATGCATCTGCTGCTGCTGCTGCTGTTGCTGCTGCTGCTGCTGTTGCTGCTGCTGCTGTTGCTGCTGCTGCTGTTGCTGCTGCTGTTGCTGTTGCATTTGCTGATGTTGCCGCTCCCTCATCATGCGCTGCTGCACCAAGTGCTGCGGAGGTGGGGTCGCCGGTGGTCTGGCCACCTGCCACGCAAAACTCCGACCCCCGCCGCGCCCGTCCCTCGAGCCGATTCCGCCTTGGGCCTTCTGTGGATGATTGCAACACAAACCCTGCTTGGTCTTGCACAAGGTTTGTTGATTACCAGTGCGAAAGACAAACTGGGGAGACATTTTGACTTGTGAATGAAACAAGGTAACACGTGCCACTCAAAGAAGGGTGTGCGTGATGCTACCCTCAGAACATAATGACAAGGACGGCCGAATGACACATGAACCGAGTTGTGACAATTTTGGTGAGTTGTGTTTGTTTTACGACCCAACTCACAACATGATCTCCGTCAGAGTTCTCCATCACTTCACTTCAACATCTTCCATCCACATCTGAACATGGCCTGACTGGTCCCAGGAGGAGGTTGGTCTCCTGCGTCTTCCGCCAAACAACCGAAACAACGCCACTGCTGTTCACAGCAGCCCGGAGAGTTCAACACTGGATGACTCCTCCGACCCCGAGCTGGCGCCTAAAAATTTGTGGTGGATGAGAAACATCCCAGGTGCGGGTAGTGAATCAAATCAAGTGAACCTGAAGAAACCTGGGCAGCTTGCCATACATAGCTTACCTGCTGGGAACCTCACTTCCCGAAGTGGATACATATGGATACAGCCTCAGTAGCTACTTCATGCTACTGAATGCGTGCCTGACACAAGCAAATGCGGCCTCCTTCCTTCTCTAAAATGATCATGGAAGTGAAAGATGGACCCTTCAATGACCATTTTCCACTTCCATGATTATGTTGACACACCACCCCCCCGTCTCCAGAATGGATTTATACATCTCCATATGGTGGTGAATCATTATATAAGTGTCGACCAGGACTTGTGAGACGAAGAAAGCTCCCGTAGAACCCTTTTCCGCGGCCGCCGCCCTTGTTTATGTCAGGCATTACTGTTCATAGTTTATCCCGTCCAGCAAAAATGACAGCAGCAGCTACAGGAGCAGCGGCGGCAGCAACAGCTACAGCAGCAACAAGAAACTTCAGCAATCACAACCCACTTTAAGAGTATTTGCCAGTATCAGGTCTAGAGTCTAGTGCACGTTTGATATGTTTGATATTGATCAACCATCAACGCCAATGCAAAGAAATCAGCTGCACGGGAAAACGATACCAAAACATCAAGTCTGACCGTTCCACGGAGTCTGTCTGTCTGTTCCACGGAGTCCGTCTTTCGACCCCAAACCCAGAACTCGTGCCTCCTTGCAAGACATTCCGCAGGCATTCCGTAGACCAGGACTTAACATGTTGACCCGTTCAAATGAAAGAAACCGTCGGGTCAAAGCATGAAAGAAACCGCGGTCCTGCAGCTTCAGCGCGCTCCCAGCAAAAGCTGCGGCCTCCTACAGTGGACTCCCAGACCTGATCATTGTGGAGGATTGGAGTGGATTGTCAGGAACAATCTAATTAGTAACAAAGGGCATCGCTACTAGGAACAAGGACGCTACGAACGGGGCTCCTGGCCTTACTTCTAGTAACAAGAAGCTACTAGGAACAAAGGGCATCGCTACGACTGCAAGGACGCTCTCAGGAAGGGCGGATCGGTGGAACCAACATGGGCTTCGCTGTATGGTCCGTCTGGTGCTGACCTCGGAAGCAGGTCAGCCACTCTGAGAACTCGGATGCGCCAGGCCACTGCATGATGCAGCAGCTTGTTCGGTGTGACACTTGGCCTGTGCATGCTGCATGTTTTTGCGAACAGCGGCCCTTTTTCTTAGCACACTTTAAGGTGTAGGACACACGTCCCCCCAAAAGGAGCCCTGTTGGTTTGCGCCATTGTTGGTTGTATAAGTGCACAGCAGGGTGACGCATCAAACGCAGCATCGCTGGAACTTGCCACACTCAGGAATTAGCATGATTCTAAGAAAACCCGGAATCGTTTCAGGCACCGGCAAATGCCGCCAAAAGGAGACAAGACAAACTTTCCATGCGAGACCGCCAGACCTGGCGGCCGCGTTGGCCTTCACTTCATCGAAAAGAGCTCTCGGAAGCCATATCATTGGTAATCCAAAGACTCCATGTATGCCATATATGCCTACATTGACCCCCAAAACCACCCCAATGTAGGCATATCTGGCATACATGGAGTGTCTGGGTAGGGTTTTAATAAATGGCACAAGGGCCCCCAAAAGGTGGTTGCGGACTCCGGGACCCCCAGAACCCACTGACATGGACCGGGTGGCAGTGCCATCTACTCTGAACCCACTGTAGGTGGTAGTCCACGAAATGTCTGCTCTCATGTCCTCTCCAAATGGCTCTAACTCCTGGCTGAACTGCTTTGAGATCTGCTGCAACTGCAACCTTCCTGGTTTGCTGTGCGCTCGGGTGCTGTCTGAAGACCACCTCTCTTGTCGAGAGACGCTGCCAGAACTCCTCAGTTTCAGCAACAAATCTTGCCCCTGAATGGGCTCTGTGCAACTTCCTCTACTCCCAAAATCGTCACTGCAAGGTGCCATGACGAACTCCCAGCCACGGCACTCTTTTGTCATCCAGGATGAATGTCTCGCTCTAAACCACCTGCCTTGCTTGCAATGCCCCTGTCCATGCCTGTCCAAAAGTCTCGTTCTTTGGCACAGTGTCGGCTGGGAATATCTGGAGAAGCACCCCTGGCCGTGCATAAGTGCCGAAGGTGCAAAGGACTTCCTTGGAGTGCAAGTGGCGAAGAAGCAGGCCACGTACAAAACCGGCTTGCAGCTAAGGCGGAAAAAGCAAGAACAAGGATGTCAAAGGCACTTTTAAAGGCCAAGTTGGTCCTTGGATGAGGTTTGGAGATGTTCTTCCCCTGCCCTTGCCTGTCCCTTGCTCAGCCGGGCCCCCGAACTGCCCTCTTCAAAGGAGATTCCATGGGCCTCAGTGGCACAATCCGGTGGACTGGTCCATCATCTACCAGGTGGTGGTGGGATCAAAGATTCAGAGGTCACTCCACCTGCAAATGTGAAGAACCAGTGGATAAATTTGTCTGACATAGAGTTTGAACTATGATTTTGCTTTGATGCCCTTCATGTTTTTGTTTCTTTTTGCGTCCTGCACCCTCATGAGCGCACACACACACACATCACTGAAAAACAGAAAAAACACAGCACCTCACAGCACCTCGCGTTTCCGACTTGACTGGAAGGGACCCACCTCATTGCTCCAACCGGGCCCTTCCTTTTTCCTCTGCAAAGTCCTCGGGCCGCGAGGCGTAGCGCACGGCACCGGCGTCAGCGCCCAAACCATGGCAGGGGTCGCCGAAGGCCAAGTGCCGGGTCCAAAGTTCATGGAGCTCCTGGGCGGTGCCGGCTACGCTCGGAAACAGGGCTTTTGCGTGGATGGCATAGCCCCGATCTGGGATGACCAGTGTCCTCTACAAACAGGTGGTGCGCTCCATTTCCATGAATTTTTCAAGGGTCGTGGAGGGATGTAACGCTACTTTACTTCGAGCGATCCCGCATGCATTTCAAGGCTTTGTTTTGGTACCAAATGACGGCCACATGGCTACATTATGCTACATTGCTATTGCTCCAACGTCGCCAAGCAAGCGTCTATCTTGCATAAATACTGGCATTCTATCTGGCACATATTCTGGCTGGCATATACTCCGGCATTCCTATTTTGGCATATGTTCTGCCATTTTTGCCAGCATGTGCTCTGACATTCTTTCTGGCAATCTATTTGCCATCTCTTCTGGTGTTCTTTCTGGGCTTCTATCTCGTTCAGGTCCGCCTACTGCGATCTGGAGCTCATGGTCTGGCACTCCAACTGGCATGTTTTTTGGCATTCTATCTGGAATATATTCTGGCATATTTTCTTACATTCTTTATGGCATTTATTCTGACATTCTTTGAGAACGAGTTGCCAATTTTTTTTCTGGACTTCGATCTGGTTCAGGTTCGGTGGTGCCCACTGCACCCTGCAGCGAAGGAAGAAGGAGGAGGAGGCGGAGAAAAAGGATGAGGAAAAGGATGAATATATAGGAGGAAAAATTGACAGCTGTGACACAATCTATATAACAACCCTCACCTAGCACGTGGGGGAAAATTGCCTCCTGCAGGCCCAACTTAGCTTCATGTTAGCTCGAGACGATCAACTACTTCCATCAGATTCAAAAATGATTTCATGTGGCATGTGGGGTTCACCGCACTATGCCCCTATGGGGGCTCATTTTGGACTTGAAACAAAAGTGATCTCAAGTGCTTGACTGATCTCGATTGCAAACAACAAATTCAGAGCTGGGGGCTAAGGAGAAGGCTGTTATCTCGGGAAAGTGCAACATGTCATAGAAGAGGTCACCTGCCATAATAGGTACGATACCTAATTCTTGCGGAACCTGCTAGAAGGCGTGGAACGTGACCTTGCCATTGCATTACCTTAAAAGGTCGTCTACCAAAACTTCATTCTTCTAGATATTAAGACTTCATTATTGACTTCACATGTGTTCACCCTCTTAGAATCTCGTTCTCAAGTGGCTGTAGGCATGGTCGGTCGCAAAGAAATAGAATATAGATGAAGATATATAAATATATATGGTGGTTGATAGCCTGGAATGGCCTTTCTTCGCGGAAAAAACTATCTTTCGCGGCCTCATCGCGAAGCATGGTCCTACAACCATGTCTAGAGTCTAGCTAACATGAGCCGGAACATGTCATAGTATTACAAAATAGGGACACACATCTTGCAGCATGACCCCAGTAGAAGGTTGAACGTTTCCACAGCTACTCAGGGTCACTTGCGGCATCTGTGCGACAATTGTGCAAAGCAGAATCAGGCGCAGCTCATCCCAATTTTCGTGCTAGCTACCAACACAGGGTGATGCAGTTTGGGAAATGTTGGGGGCCTCAAGCTGGGAACCTGGACTTTAGCGGCGCATCGCGGATCTTTCGCGCAATTTCACTGGGAAGCCGTAGCTTTTGCAAACATCTGCACAGCCCGTCAGAGCAGCAGGGCTGTGCCTAATGTCTACCTAGGATTAGGGAACCCCCCCCTATTAGTCTACCCAGCGTTCAGGCCCCAATAACAAAAACTAATTTGAACCATGAATTTCCACAGTCACCACCCTCTAATAAATTTTTTTCTTGGCTGAACCCCCCCCTATTAGTCTACCCCCTGTCCCCCCAGGAGACATATAGTTATTTAAATATATATGTGTGTTTAATTAGTTTTGTTCTTTTTCCCCTTTCAATATTTTCTTGTCTTGCCATGGTGAAACTGATCTTCTGGTTGATTACCAATGCTCTCCCAAAGCAACAGTTTTCCTAGAATTTCCAAAAACTCTCTAGGAAAACTCTTTCATTTTCCATTATTAAAACTCTATCAAAATCTGCAATTTGAGAAGCTCAGAAAGGGTACCCCCCATACACCCCCTACCCCCCTCTAATAGTGGGGTACCCCCCCTATTAGTCAACCCCATCCATGATGAGCTCTCATGGACCTCATGATGAAAGGGAATTAGTATTTGGGCTCTCATGGATCTCATCATTCCATCCCAGCTCTTCCAAATACTAATTCCCTTTCATTCCAATTCTTCCAAATACTAATTCCCTTTCATCCCAACCCTTCCAAATACTAATTCCCTTTCACTCCAATTCTTCCAAATACTAATTCCCTTTCATTCCAATTCTTCCAAATACTAATTCCCTTTCATCTCAATTCTTCCAAATACTAATTCCCTTTCATTCCAATTCTTCCAAATCAAACTCCCTTTCATCATCAGGTCATCCCCACTATTAGGGGGATGTGATCTCCAAAACCTCCAATCTCAGACCTTGTTGACCTTCTAGGCGGGGGGGGCCGTTGATTAATCCGACGATGGCATTACTCAGGTTGCTAGTCTGTGACAGTGGGGGCAGGAATCGGAGAATCCTTTACGCACTGCCAGGGCTGGGCATGGAAATGGGCTTCAGTTCGTTAGTCTGTGACAGATGGGGGCACTTCCGCCCACCGGCGCCGGAGGATTGCCTTGTATTTCTATTCGTCAGTCCGGTAGAAAGGAACACATATGAAAGCGATGACCTTCGATAACTCTTTCGCGGAATAAAAGATGCTTTCGCGAGCCTCATCGCGAATCTTTCGCGGATGGTTCTAACATCTGAAAGCCTATTTTATATAAACTCCTTACACGGGGTTTTCGATCAACTCCCATATGTGAACGAGTGGTCCACAAATAGTACAGTAGATAGAAAGGCTTGAAAGGGATGTAGGCTCGAAACACCCGCCCCGTGGCGTGAGCCGCGCTGCTCGTGGCGTCTTGAGATCATGTGCCACGATGAGCTCTTCACCACAGCGGTCGCCCAAGCGCCAGTCGAACCACTCGAGACCATGCCTGCGGGCCCCAACTGGATGGAGCAGTTGGGCTGGTCTCTAAGCCGGTTAAAATCATATGGCCCAACTGCATCATCACCCTTTATTTTTTAAATCAGAAATCACTAATAATTAAAGGGTGAATCTGGAAGTGCATTATATAATATATTTTGCTCTCGTAGCTGCAATCTTCCTGGAGTGTTCTGGGATGACGATCTTCATGGGAAAGTCCATGTAGACAAAATTGCCGCCCTTTCATCTATAAAACCAGCCCAAATACAAACATCAAACATCATAGTCGCAAGGTCTAGCTGTGTAATGTATATGATTGCTTCCTCGAAACACCGGTGTCAGAACACGATTTGACGTCCTTGGAGTTGCACACCTGGTGATTCTGACAAAACCAAAGCCCTTGAAGTCCGTGGTCCATTTGGGGCACAGTAGCCATATGTGGCATCCTAACATGTCCTAACCATTTGCAACCAGGTCTGCAGGAATGAAGTGTCCAACATGTTCTAAGCACCACTAGGGTACACATCCCTTCCACATGGTTGGTCTTTCCTCCCCTCCCCTCGTGTCCAGCGTGTCCAGCGTGGTCTCCTCAAGCGGTGCGGTCGCTGGATCTCCAACTCTCCAAAGACCAAACCCACCTGACAGGTGTTGAAGACACAGCGGTGTCATGGCCCTCCAAAGAACGTAGGGAAGATCGGAAGAATCTCTTTTTATGTACCCTCATTGAGAGTAGATGGCACAAGGGCTGGTGGTTTAGTAGTGGACCCCCATCTGTCTAGGACATCTTGGGGGAAACGTGCCATCGAACCTCTGAAACCACTGTATGTACCCTGATGAGCTCTTGGTGAGCCCTAGCTCGGTGAAGAAACAACCACGTACCGTGGCAGTCAACAGGGCGGTATTGGCATGGCACGTGACCTTCCCGGAGATGCAATCAGCAAAATCATCGCATACCACCAAACACGTTTTGGGCTAAAACCCGAAGTGGGTGAGGACCTGAAGGGCTGCCACAAGAAACAAACATCCTATCGTCGCCTCCAATGCCGTTGTTCTAGTCTTGCTAAACTGTTACAACAAGCCAAAATCATTGTCAAACCAACACAATCAACGCCCCCTTGAAGCACACAGGGTTCACCAATGGTGTTGTTGACAAACTTGATGCAAACAAACGCTTATACTATAGCATGCCATAGCCACACAACAAATTTCTTCCAAAACCCATGGTTTCTCCAAACACCATCCAACACAACTTCACGCTTTGATTCATTACACTCATCAAATCTCATCAAGATCTGCCTGCGCAGCAGTTCCAAAGAGGTGCCTATTGGAGAGTAGGGTGTCCATGGGTGTCCATGGACACCACCCAAGTCCAGGAAGTTCCTGATTCACCCTCCTGAGTTCATCCGGTTCTCCTGGTGAGCTCCTGGTTCTCTCCTGTCTCATTTCTCCAGGCCACCGAGTCGTCATCCGAAGCCCACAACTTCCATGGGATCTCGGCCGCCGAGGCCATGGACGAGGCCAGCCACCGTGCCAAGCGGTGGTCGATGACCCACAGACC